TTCAATCCTTGTTCTAGATTGTGGGTTTTGAATATTCCTTTTCAATATATTTTCTCATGTATTGATGAGATGACACAGAGAATGAAAATCACATATAAATTGAGGGTCATAACCCTATTTATATTTTCATATGTATTTGACCCATCATCAAATACAATCCTTATGGATCCAACCTCTACACATATAATCCAGCCAACACTTATTTAGATGCCCAAAACCTATTACTTTAATTCTTTATTATATAACTTTAATTGGACTTAACTTTAAGATAGTCTTTAATACACACTAAATTATATATGTAAGCCCACATGAAAAATTAAAACCAAACATACTATCCTTAATTACCACATATCTAAGATAATTTTGTCTAGGTTTGCTACTGTTAAGGGGGGCTAATGAAACTCCATCGTTGTTACGAAGAAAAAATTTAGAGACATGCGCCAAACCATAGAGCCTTTGGATTTGGTTGCTTCCTTCCTTGGTGTCACGGACCGCAACTTTACTTAAACCCCGTTGCAACCGCAGTTTGCACAACTTTGGCCGCACATTGTAAATATTTTATTTAAATTGTAAAATAGTTAGAAATTAGAAAATTTTAGTATGATTCTACGGACTTTAAACGTCTACTCGGTCAGTTGGGATTTTGTTCCGAAGTCTATTATATGGGGTATTAGTCTTTCAAACATTTTTCAAGCTTTCTAGTGTTCGCCCCATGCACTAACCATTGTAATTTCCTGCTTTCAACAATTGTAATTTCTAGTTTTCAAGCAATTAATGATCAAGTTATGTTCAATGCATTTCAATTTTATGTTGCAAGCTTTCCTTAAATTGTAATCAAATTTCTTTTGTCCCTAAATGACCGAGAGAAGGCGGAAGGTAGTCTAGCGGAACAGACTACTGCCGCACAGTGCTCCTTTCTTTGTTAAGAAGAAAGGCAACTCGTGAAAGTTGGTATCAGAGCTACGGCTCAAGACCCTTGATAAGAAAACTATGGATCCAGATTCCTCGAACGCCACAGATGCGGTAGATGTTCAAAAGAGGAATACGAAACAACGCGTGGATGCGCTTGAGGTGGCAACTACTAGGTTGTGCTATGCCGTGGACGGCCTCAAGGAAAAAGTCAAAGTGGCAGAGACGGAAATTCGGGAATTACACATCCAGGTGGATGAAAGCCAAAAGGCTTGCGCAGCAATGACTGAAGCTGTTGCTATCATACCTGATCTGCAGGATCTGATGGGAGCGTTGAGAGCTCAATTACTAGTGCTTCAACGCGCAGTTGGCAATGGGCAAGCCACCGCACAAGAGCCTGAGCATAGGCTTCGAATTTCAGATCCGTGTACCTACGGAGGGCACGCGATGCTAAAGAAGTTAAGAACTTCTTGTTCGATATGGAACAATACTTTCTTGCGGCTTCGATCCAAGACGAAGCGAGAAAGGTTACAACAACTACCATGTATCTTGTTGGGAATGCAAAGCTATGGTGGCGGACAAAGTATGTTGATATTCAGGCCAACAGGGTCCGAATAGATTCTTGGGATCTTCTCAAGGAAGCAATCAGATTTCAGTTTTTTCCAAAGAATGTGGAATATGAGGCACGTCGGGCTTTACGAGAACTGAAACACACAAGCTCTATCAGGGAGTACGTGAAAGCCTTTTCAGTACATGCTGAATATTCGAGATATGTCAAAAAATGATAAGCTGTTCACCTTCATAGAAAGGTTGGAACCGTGGACACACACGAAACTTCAGAGACAGAAGGTCACTGATTTGAGCGCGGCTATGGGAGCTGCTGAATATTTAAGTGATTATCCACCGGAATCGGGAGAGGATCGACCTTTGGGAAATAGTCAATCTGCTGAAGGTGGAAAGAGACCTTACGAACCCAGCCCGAACTCAAATGGGGGAGATCGTTACTCACAGAATAGGGGAGGAGCCTATCAAGGCAACCGCCAGAGTAACTTGCAGGGAAACTATCAAAACAGCCGTCAAGGAAACTATAACGGCAGCAACAGTAACAACTGGAACCAAGGAAAAGCAAATGTGGGCAGATCTGATGCCGGTCCAAAACTGAAGTGCTTTTTATGTGAAGGATCCTATCGGGTGGCGGAGTGTCCTCAGAAACGAATGGTGAATGCATACTGTCAACTAGCAATTGGTGGTTCGAGTTCAAAGCAAAATACCCTACAAGCTAGCTATCATGGTGACACCGACTCCGAAGGGGATGATGATGTAGTTGGTGCATTCTCACATCGATGCAATACACTATCGCACCGAGCTACTAAAAGGGGTGAAGTTCCCTCGACAGAGCCGAAGATGGAAAAATCAAAGGCTCGCAATTGTAGGGCGAAAGGCCTAATGTACATTGATGTGAAGATCAATGGGAAGCCAATCAGGGCTATGATAGATACCGGTGCTACCCACAACTACCTTGCAAGTGCCGAGGTAGAGCGTCTCGGACTTGCTCTAGAGAGAGGTAAGGGGAAAGTTAAAGCAATCAACTCCGCTGCTCAACCAATAGTGAGAGTAGCGAAATCAGTGTCAATCAAAGTAGGTCCCTTCGAAGGAAAGACGAACTTGTCGACAGTTCAGATGGATGATTTCAAGCTCATTCTAGGATTGGAATTTCTTTGAGATACAAGAACAACAGTGTTGCCGCATTCCGACTCGTTAATAATGNCATTTCGACTTATTAATAATGATGGATAGTAGACCATGAATTATCCCCACACAAGTTGGGAAAACATGCAAGAAGGGTATCTCGACCATGCAATTTAGTAAGGGTTTCAAGAGGAATGAACCTTCATTCTTGTGCACTCTTCGAGTAGAGGAGATTGAAGAGGCAACCGACCTTATTCCAAAACCTATCACAAGGCTTATTAAGGAATTTGAGGACATCATGTCGGATGAGATACTAAAGAAATTGCCACCAAGGAGGACAATTGATCGCGAGATTGAACTTGTTCCGGGTGCCAACCTCCAACCAGGGCACCATGTCGTATGTCTTAGTCGGAGCATGAAGAGCTTCGGGAAGTGAGACTATTGTGGAGTGCATTTCTGTACTACTACAAGGTGCATACTACTGGCCTCAAAGGTTGGACGACAATGCAAGTTATGTGAATTGTCAGCAAGATATGACAGATCATCAGAAAAGGGCAGGCTTACTAGAACCCCTTTCCGTCCTGAACAGACCATTCGAGAGCATATCGATGGACTACATTGGTGGATTGCCAAAAGTCACTATCATCGTCGTGGTAGACAACTTATCTAAAAATGAAACTTTCATCGCAGCACCCAAGGATGTATCATTCGAAGTGACAGCTCAACTCTTCTTCAAACGCATTGTTAAATATTGGGGACAGCATAAGGACATCGTCAGTGATCGAGATTCTCGAATTACTGACATGCTTTGGATCGAGTTGTTCAAACTTCAACCAAGTTAAAACTCGTACTCTTCGAGTTTTCATCCGCAATCTGACGGACAGATGGAGCACTTCAATGCTAAGCTGGAAGACTATCTTCGGCAATTTATCTCTGCTTCGCAGAAAATTTGGGTAAAACTCCTGGATGCGGCTCGGATGTGTTTCAATGTCCAAAAGAGCTCTTTTCCTAATAAGAATACTTTTGAGATTGCTACTGGCCAACAACCATTACTCCCTCATACTGTGGATATCGTTCAGAAACGGTACAAAAATTCTACAGATCTGAAGCGACCTAGATCTAAAAAGAATGTTGCTGAAGAGATTCTTGGCCATTAACCCTGAAGGGTTGCTCAATTGGTTAGGCCTTGGGTTTGCTCCCCAATGGTCACCAGTTCGAGTCCCCTCAGGGCCACTGAGGTGAGTACCCGGCCGTAAACTTCAGGGTCCCATGGAATTAGTCGAGGTGCGTGCAAGTTGGCTCGAACATCCACGGTTATCAAAAAAAAAAAAAAAAGAGATTCTTGGCCATCAAACTACTCGAACCTCTAGGAAATATCTTCAAGAGTACTTGGTCAAATGAAGCGGATGCAACAACGAATAGAAGAATTGGGCAAGCGAAAAATACCTTGAAGCCTTCAAACCATTAATTGAAGTATAACGTTCATTGATGGCTCCGAGGACGTCGCCAAAACAAATGGGGGAGAATGTCACGGACCGCAGCTTTACTTAAGTCTCGTGACCCTATCGCAGCCGCAGTTTGCACAACTTTGGCCGCACATTGTAAATATTTTATTTAAATTATAAAATGTTAGAAATTAGAAAATTTTAGTATGATTCTACGAACTTTAAACGTCTACTCCGTAAATTGGATTTTTGTTCCGAAGTCTATTATAGGGGGTATTAGTCTTTCAAATATCTTTCAAACTTTCTAATGTTCGCCCCATGCACTAATAATTGTAATTTCCTGTTTTCGGCAATTGTAATTTTTAGCTTTCAAGCAATCAATGATCAATTTACTTTCAATGCATCTCAATTTTATGTTGCAAGTTTTCTACAAATTATAATCAAAATTTCTTTCATCCCGAAACGACCAAGAGAAGGAGGAAGGTAGTCTAGTGGAGCAGACTACTGCCGCACGATCCCTTTCTGTATTAAGAAGAAAGGCAGCCCATGAAAGTTGCTATTAGAGCTGCGGCTCAAGACCCTCGATAAGAAAGCTACGGATCCAATTACCTCAAACATTACAAAAGTTGTGGATCCTCAAAAGAGGAGCACGAAACANGTAATGGTTTCTAACAAATCCAGCTCTATAGATGCTGTTCACGCAATGGGATGAAACGAGGAATTCACAAGTTGCATCGCATACTGGCAATAGGTGACCTCTTCTTCAACACAAGCTTTGTCGATTGAACTTCCTGTGAATCCATGCTGTGATTGGATCTCACACGTTTTAAGGGTCTGGAAACTCTGAATATACTCTAGATATTATTGTCTTAAAGAACCTGATTTTCGATTTAGCAATATACTTTTCGTCTACGGTTGGAAGTGACTATTTTTCTTTTCGCTCAATTTCTCTAATAATCATGCTGCGGCGACAAAATGTGCTCCTATATCATAAAGATTCTGCTTCTGTAGAGAGCAATCCAACAGGGGACACAAGTTAATGGCGGCTATGCCATATCCAAACTCCACAGAACTGCCGACCATACTTGAGGATTAGGGGCATTGATTTTCATATTTAGTCACTATAATCTACACAAATCTAATTTTCACTCTGTAAACAAAATCAGCCATTATTAGTGGTGGCAATGGGCCGAGCCGAGCCGGCTCGGCCCATTG